CTCGCTTACACACACACACACACACACACACACACACACTCACAAACATACCCCTAACTCACTCCCTGAAGCTGGCAGGTCTACTGCTGCTCTGGCTGTGTGTCCGGTATGGAGGAGTGTTAATTAAAGCAGGCACACTATTGATCTCAGCCCAGGCCTCCTCTGAGCTCTCCCTGCTTGCTCCCATTACCCTGAAAATGCTCACTCTCTGGGGCACCAGCCCGCAGCTCTGTGTGTGTGTGTGTGTGTGAGAAAGAGAGAGAGAGAGAAAGAAAGAGAGATAGAGAGAGATAGAGAAAGGCAATTAAGTGTGCAGGGGTGTTTGTTAGCTCATTAGTTTACTGTTGGTCTCTGTAGATCAGAGTACCATTTCTTTTAAATGCAACACAAAATCTTAAACCTTTAGCTCTTTGCGGTGTATTACACAGCACAAACTGAAAGACACAGTAGTAGTCTAGCACCTTACTCTTTACTTATCATGATAACATTACATCACGCTGGATGTTGTTAGTACTTAAAGAACACTGGCCAACTGCATTTTTTCATTATAAATTTTTTTGATAAGAAGCTTCCAGGTGGCATAGCTATGAAAGGTTTTTCCTTTGAAAAAATTAGCCCTGTTTGACTGGATGTGCAATATGTGAAATTAGGAGTGGGTGATATGGCAAAAATATAACATCACAATACTTTAACCCTCTGGGGTGGACAAACATGCCTGCACGTCAAATCCAATTTTTCTATGTTTCTCTATCTTTGCAATAATACAGTGCAGAAATGCAGTTCAAGCTTTTTCTGAATCTGTAGGCTCGCCCTTTCGATTCCACTTTATCACAAGATCGTACGTGACTCACATCCAGAGCTAAGAGGCTATGAAGAGGGGTTGAGATGCACGTCATCTGCCTCTCACAGTGTATAATTGGTGGAATTGCTTGTCCTGTCCACATTTTGTGTGAGACTGACCAATGAACACAAAGGAAAATCACTAAGGACTTACACATCGTGTCGGAAACCCTTCATTATTCATTCAGTTGACATTGGAGACACATGAAATGGCGTGCAGAGTTTACAGCCACTGAAGTAGCTGCAACAGTTTTAAAAAGTAGCGACAAAGTTAACGGAGCATTTTATTTTGAAACATATGGGTAACATGTTATATGCAGCGCCTATAAAACAAACAAAAAATCGAGAAAATTATTAAAATTACCATCAAACTCTATGAACTTTGTTACTCAACATTTCAAATAGTGCATCTATTTAGCCAGAAATTTGAATGAAACATTACAATGCCTGGTTAAATAGATGGCATTGTTTGCAGGTGAGGTTTTGAGGTCCACTATATTACCTTGCACATTTACTTCCAATTCAGAACATTTTTCATAGGCTCTTGGCAGCTTTCTTCTGCTAGATGGTGTTTCAGACAGCAGAAAATGAAAACAAATCACTGCTGAGCTTGCAGTAAAAAAACAGTGTTGAAACTCAAAACAATATTTTTTGCTTTGAAGTATGTTTTCTGTTGTATGTATGCTAGCAGTTTTGTCTGAAGTATACTGTTACTGATTTAACTCACCACTACTATAGAAAGAACAAAATTGCTAATTTTTTGGTGCTGAAGTGCTGATGATTTTGACATAAAAATTCATTATTCATATCATTATATCATGCATTTTGAAAATGTCCCCAGGGGTTGTGCTGTTTTTTCCGTATCGCTCATCAATACTCCATTCTCAAATTAGAAAGAAGAAACTGACAATTAATGTGGAAAATATGGTGCGAAATCTGTACTTGTTTTTCTCAATCCTTTCCATCTCATTTAAATATGTAATACTAGTTTAAAACCTTCATTTAGTGTGCCAGAAGAATCTTTTGTAATTCTATCGGAATCGGTATCAAGATTATTCGGGGAGGTTTGGCGGGGCGGACTATCTCCTAATTAAAGGGATTTGAGCTAGAGAGGATTTCATTCTCCACAGAGCGAAGGCAATAGGATTTGGAGATGTGGGAAGCTGGTGCTGGACAAAGGTAAAGCAGGAACCGTGCTCCATGCTCCAGTGGCCTGCATTATGGTGGGCCAGAGATAATGCCTTTGATTTATTCCATGTGCAGTTCGTGAGCAGTGTTGTGTTAAATGACCTGTGCGCTGCAAGAACATTTCTACATGTGGAGACAAGAGTGGGGGGTCACATTAGCGGTAGTTACAGTGAAGTGCCATAGTTGGGGATATGAAAGGAGACCTATTTAACTCTATTTAACTATTTTCTGGGTGGCGATTTTGTATGCTAATGTCCAATTGCTCTCATTAGCCGTCTCATTGAAGGGGACAGAGTGTGCGTGTGGCCATAGTGTGGTGGTGGAGAGCTTAACAGTGGCTGCAGCATATGACAAAAACTATAATGTTTGCCTTTTTTAAGCGTGTTTGCTCTGAGAGCCTATACAGCTTTGGTTTGCTTTATAAATAGTTTGTTTGTTTGCCCATCTTGCCACTGTTAAGATAATGCTAACTAGCTCGCTGTTGGGGTTTTCAGTGATAGCACCAAGCTAACAGTCGTGTACATTTATACTTTGTTGCAGTTCTCTCAAACGTTCTATCAAAAGTTCTCTCTGCCTGCACACTTCTTAAACGTGAACCCTAGTTTCCCAACTTCCCCGTTTTCAGAAAATTTTAGCATGCTTATTCTGGATTATCTGTTCTGCCGCAGATATTTTCTGGGTATATTTCCACAGTGACTCTTATTGTGAAGTATTCTTTCATTGCTTAGTTCAGGAAGAGGAGTGCCAGTTTTATCGCTGGTACCCAAGCAAGTTAGAGTTAGTGAGGCTGAGAGCGAAGGAAAAACCATTCCATGTATAAGGCAAGGCTGAAGCCAAATACAGCCTTAGATAAAGCTTAACAGTTTGTGTGGAAACCGATGTAAAAGAAGATCTTCTTTTATAGCGTAAAACGCTACAATTACAAGCTGTTTAACGGTAAATTAGTCCCCTCTACTTCTCTGTCTGTTCTTTTCCCAAAACACTGATTATCACCTTTTACACATCGCCATCAGGTTACTTATCCATCATCGTAGATATCTGATTATATTGCCCTATTGCCCAGGCCTAGTGAGGACAGAATATGGTCCAAATAGCCCACAGAAAGCCTGTTAACATCACAGAGTCTGCCAAATCAGTCAACACATTGAATGTTTGCTATATGAAATATTACATCACTGTTTTGCACTGTCTTGTCGATCTGAGATTTTCATATGTAAAAAAGCAGCTGTAACAGCGAAAGTATGAAGGCTGGGTGAGTGGGCGTGGTTATTGGATAGGGGCAGAAATCTGCCCACCATCAAGCAGCAAGTCCTAACAGCTTGTAGAACCACGTGCCTTCGGTAAAAGGGAAATGTCAATATGGCTGAGACCTCATATTTCAGTTTTTGGACGGTAGATACATTTACATGTAATGTATACAGTACTGTGCAAGACTGCCCTAACTTATGTAAATGTCAGTCAAAACAGCCATGAAGTAACTTTTAAGTATAAAGAAGAGCAGAAAACACATGTTTACCAAAAAAATACACAACAAAAAGTATAGACCAAATAAATAATAACATTTTAAAATATTTTCTTCAGTGTTTAGCATGTCCACCTTTACCTTTAAAACTGCTTCCATTCTTTTCTGTAGACTTCCTTTCAGCTTTTTCTGATACCTGCAGTGATATTTCTCCTTCAATTAGTTGCATTCACTGCTTCTCACAATCCAAGTAATCCCAAACACATTCAGTGATGTTGAGGTCTGGACTCTGGGGTGGACAGTCTGTTGTTCTGAGAACACCAGCAGCTTCTTTGTTTAGTTTGCAAATTTTCTTCTTTTTTCTATTTCCTTTTCTCAGCAACCTAGTTGTTCTTGACTGCTACACATCCTTTCAGACCCATAGCACTGCGTCTTCTCACAGTGCAAAGAAGGACAAAAACATGATTTTTTGTTTTCGATTTTTATCAGATCTGAAGCAAGAGTTCTCCTGTTTTTTAAAGATGAAAGCACAGTTCTTCTGATAATCTGAAACTCATTTTTTCCACTGAGTTTCCTTCAACTTCCCCCTTCCTTGTGAAAGTGGATTAACTAATACATGCTGTAATTTCCTCAGAAATATCTCCTAAAAAATGAATATTTTATACTTCATGGCTGTTTTGACTGGAAATGAAATAAATGAAGGGTGGTCTCTGACTTTTGCAGAGCACTGTATATGAACTTGTAAGGAATGTTTACTGTATGTGGGAATACTGAGAGAAGAGGAGCAGTCATGCTCAAACAAATATACACCCAGCTCCATTCAGAAGAACACATCATCAAACAAGGAGTACTGAATGAGTCATTCTTTTGTAGACTCTTTCTTGCCTTGCTCTGTCTCGCTCTCTCTCGCTCGCTCTCTCTCTCTGTCTCTGTGTGTTTGTGTGTAACTGACACACAAAACCCAGCCAAATGACCCAAACTCTTTTATTGCCTAAAGACAGACTTTGTTTTTCTTTATGTGAGTTTGTAACTGACACACACCCACTAAATTAAACAGAACTCTGTTATTGCCTGCAGACACACTGTGTATGTGTGTGTGTCACATGTGCACACACCCACATTAAATGGACTGAACTCTCGTAGTTGCCCACAGGCCCGCTGTGCACATTTCGTTCTCTCTCATCTCTCACACACCATTAAGACGGACTCTGCTACAGTTGCAGTTGTATCAATAAAAAAGGTTCTGAACCCCCGCACTTTGACGCAGACTCGTGTGGGCGGGGTTTGTACGAGGGCAGAGCTGCTGTCGCAGTGACTTCATGAAAAGGGTGGGGCTTCAGTCGCATTGGCTCTCTGGGAGGGGACAGAGGCTCTATGACAGTGAGGCTGTGAGAGGGGGCGGAGCCTCTAGTCAGGGCCATTTCTTGCTGTGTCTTGTTGACAGTACGGGCCCTGCAATGATGTAGTGAATATATTATTTATTTGTTTATTTAGGCCTAATTTTTTTTTTATTCTAATCAGTACATTATATTTCTTTTTAGGCCTTTGCTGTTTATTGTTTGTCTTCATGTACTCAATCAATCAACCTTTATTTAAATGTTAACATTTATTGAACTTTTCATCTTGGAAGTGTTCAGTCTTTTTCATATTTGCATATAAAATAATGATGAGAGTAGGTGTGGGATCCCCATGTAGGATGTTGAGTAGTATACCGAGATGTTCACAACACAGTCCTCCCATAGAAGTGAGTCTGTGGGAAGAGGCGGAGCATCTATGGGAGGGGCGGAGCCTCTAGCTCTGTGACTTTGAGGAGAGGGCGGGGCGTCTATCGCGTTGATTCTTTCGGAGGGGGCGGGGCGTCTATCGCAGTGAGCCCGGGCGCTGCAGGCTGCGCCACTCCATCGCACGCAGAACGACAGCAAGAAGACCGAGCCACAGCTGCTGAGGCGAAACACACCGCTCACCATTTCAGAGTCTCTAAACTCGGAGGACTGTACGTGACAGCTCTTCTCCCGCCATGCTTTGTCCTCGCGCTGCTGCTCGCCTCTCCCATCGCTGTTTGTCCATGTCCTCCGTCCATTAAACCGAGTGATTAGACCCGGTTCTGTATCGGCTCCGCGCCTCACTGACACGCCCAGGTTTTGGACACTGCCGACCCGGTGAGCCCTCCCCCCCGCTTCTCCTTCACCTTTTCCTTTTTGGCTCGGACTTTGTGCTCACATTAGCAGCGGCTGCTCATCTCTCTCCTCCGTGTTGCGTCTTCTTCGCCGGTTCTGAGGGACGATGTCCGCGCGCATCTAAACGGACGGCGGCGGATCATGGATCCCGGTTCTTCCACTTTCCGCTCCCCAACGTAAAACCGCCTTCTCAATGGACGAGGACATAGACACCCGCAAGATCAACAACAGCTTCCTCCGCGACCACAACTATGCAACTGAAGGTATGTCTCGATGAGCGCGGTCATTTCCGAGCCTTTGAGCCTCTAGCTGCCTCGTGCGTTGCTATGTCTGTTTTCAGACGCCGTGAAGGTGTTACACAGTCCGGTAAAACTGCATGACAGAAGCGTAATAACTCGTATCTAAGTGCAGCTTTCAGTTGACCAGTGAGCATTCTCGAGTTTCTCCATTTACACTCTCAGGTGGTCTGTCCGAAATGCCCAGAATGTTTTCTCGCAGCAGAGTTGGCCAAATACAAAGGCAGTCTGACTAACAGCTTAAGAAGCTTTATGAGCTGCTGTGCTTGTTTCATCACCCCTGTCGCATCAGCTTCTGTGTTGTTTGGAACCATTTAGTAGGTAATTTCGTTAAAATGTTATGTATATGTGTATTTCTCTGTTGTTGGCTAGTGTTGTTTTCCAAGACATCAGACATCAGAACTTATGTAAGCTCGATACTGTATAGACTGTGGATAAATCATTGTTTAGCAATGCCAATAGACACTGATGAGTGTCACAAAGCTTCTTATGTAAATGATCTTCAGGAGTGGAGCCTAGCATCAATAACTGTGTGGAGAGGGGATTGGCGCTAGTAAGAGCTGGAGAGAGCGTGAAATAAAAGAGATTAAAGCTGGAGAGGAAGGCAGACAGATGTGATGGGATTCCAGCTGCTAAAATCCAGCACACTCCAGCTCCTAATGGCTCATGCCTGCCCTCTCCAAAAATCCATTTGCCTTGCTCCAAGCCACTCACAGCATATTTCTGCCATGCTTTCTGTGGGTGTTAATGGATCAGGTGCTGTTTAGTAATGCTATTTAACTTGTCTATCTCAGAATACTGTTGTGTCAGTGAAATATTGTCAGATTGATACACATAAATTAATTGAGAGGGGTAGAAAATGGCTTTCTTCTTATTATATTTTGGGTCACTGTATTTGCTTTGAGTTTAGGGGCCTGGACTCATGTGCTAAGAACCTAAACAGGGGAAATGTAGATATTGATGTTTTAGTACATTTGTTGTTAACATTTTAACAAAAATGCCAAAATTGCAAAATGGTTACTCCAGAGTGACTTTGAGCTCACAAATTAAAATGGACTGAGGTAGTGCATATTCAAACATATATTTAAATGTGTTGTAATTTATTTTAAAGTTCATTTTATGCAATTTTTAGATTTCAGAAGGCATTAGAAGACATAATGTTGCAGTATTGGACAATTTGATTGAATTGATGCTGTGTGAATTGGTTTGTAACTGTATTGAAAACTTTAAGAAACACCTTAGAAATAAAAAGAAGTGTCAGTTGTGTCATTGCACATGCAAGTTTCACAGCTGCCATCAGGTGACATGCCACCTAGTGCACAAAGATGCTAGACCCTAGCTAGTAAGTGCTTAAGTGCTGTTCTCACAAAAGCACATGCCCAACCCCCACCCCACAATACTGCACGTCCTAAACACTCACGTAGCCAGCTCTCCAGGGGGCTAAACTGTTAAAGGGTAAGTCAGAATTACACTGCATCCAGCCACATCCTTCGCAGAAGGTTAAAAATGTTACTTGTCAATTGAACGACCCTGCTTCACCCACTGACCCAGAGACAGGCCCAGCCCACCTGGGGATTAAAATCCCACTGTAAGCTAAGTCTTCTTCTTGGCTCCTATCCTCCCCCAAAGCCCTGTTCACTTCTCCCTGCAGACCACACTTGGTGAATTATGCAAGTGCTATCCACCCTCGTCCATCACTGTTGAAGCTACCCCATGACTGTAAAACAGGCAAATTTTCACTTGGGTGAAAAAGAGAGATAAGTTAAATGAAGCACCTTTATAATATGGTATTAACATTGGGAACTGTGACAGAAGCTTTCAGATTGATTGTGCTATGAATATTTGAAAGAGAAAGAGAGAGACAGAGAGAGAGAGACGAGAGAAAGGGGCAAGCAGGTGGTAGTCGATTAACTAGTTGGTTTGTTGACTGCTTTCTTGGTAGTCTTTGATTTTGCTAGAGGTTTTTCAATGACAAAAACGTGAAATCTTTAGAGGTCGAGCCCTGTAATTTTGACAGATTATAATACAATGGGCCAACGCAAATTTCAGAGACATTTATTTTCCAGTTCTTTTTACTTTTTTGAAGCAAAACCTGCCCAGTTATGAAAATCACAAGTGATCACGGCTATGAGAAGGTTTAGCTTGAATACCTAACCATTAATGCACTGATGCCACTGCGTTTTTGACAATCAGATGAATAAATGATGACTTATGCATTTTTAAAGCAGTTTTAATGCGTCAGTGTTTTCCACTGGTACACTCTGGTTCAATAGTCACTGTCAGCATCTTTGTGAAAGGGAGCCAGCAGTGATCCCAATTTAAACCATGAAATGAAAACCACAACACAGAGGCACAGATGAAACATAAGCATCTGTAGAAATGTTGACAAAAGCTCACTATTGAAAACCTTTGTGACCTCAGTGCTATGAAAACCCTACATGCAAATCAAAGGTAATGATATTTAAATACTAGCTTAGTAGACGTTAGTGAAGGCAGAGTCTGAACACAAAGACAATTGTTGGCCTTTTGAAATGTTTACAATATTTACAAAAGATATCAAAGAAATCATCAAGGAAACAAAGGAGAAGCTTTTTCGTTTCATTTGCATTCACTATTAATGTAATAGCATCCTCCTACAGTTTATTTGGGTGGAAAGGAGAAGCTCCACATAAGAACCACATGGAGCTGGATGTTTGTGAGCTTTTTATTTTGGAGTTAGTCCTGGGCGAATGGAAGAGGCACGGTCACGCACTTGGAACGCTTCATCTCTAAGCTGATCTGAGCGCCTTAACGGGCTCATCCCCTCCTCTCCAGACGCTTCCTGAAAGTTCACTGGTAAATGGAGCAGGTTCACAGATTCTTGCAGAACATAGAGTAGCACAGACATGTTGCTCAGAAAATGGAAAGAATAATACTTAAGTATTTGAATTCTACTGAGTGTAGGAGGAACACCAAATCCCCAAATGAACTGAGGCAGAAGTTGTATGCATGCAATTGTTGAGATTTGAGTGTTTTTTCTGAGTGTCAGCTTTACACATAATATGAGCGCACAAATTATTACGTATTTTCTGGTCCAGTAAGGAGCATAATATTTAAAGGGAGACCCTATAAACATACTACATCTGAATTCGGACTTCCTTTTACTGACAGATTTTTATTTATTCCTTAGGAGGATTGGTCATAGACGCTCAACCGACAATAAGAATGCATCGGAAATGTTAAGAATCACAAATGAGACATATGCATTAGAAAAGTTTTTAAACTCAGTGCATAAGGGAAACTGGTCTCAGCTGTAGGCTTCTGGGACTTGGCATGTGAAATTTTACTCTACTCATCATTGGACTCCACAAACAAACCATAACTTCCAGTATCTTTCTAAAATGTTGAAACGATGCACTAAACTGCACGTCTACATTGAAGGCTGGGGTCGTGTAAGTACAGTATTGGGTATCTTGAGAGATGCTCCCCCCATCTCCAACTTCAGCAAAAGACTAAAATAAGACTGTCTTTTGGGATGGCGCAGAAGTTCAAAGGGAAGAAAAAGATGTTTGAAAAACAGACAGAGGGGGATGCTGGAGAGATAAATAAAGTATGCTGAAATATGTTATTAACCAGGGATCTGGCTGACCTAAAAACATTGTGCTTTTTTTGTGCAGGGACATGTCTCAGAGAGAAACACTCTTAAAATCCTTACTTTGTGAAGAAGAACCACTCTCAAAAGGAGCAAAAGCAGCTTACTACAAATAAAAGGGTGTACATGTGGGTGTGCCATGTGTTGGATCACCTAGGATTAAGTTAGCATATGTATGTTGGACTTTGATTGGCATCAGCTCTTCATAATTGTGGGGTGAATATTTATGTGCTGGGCTCACACTGTACATGTTTACTTTCAGCCTCAGACATACGCTTTGGTGGGAATCCCTTTGTCTGTCTCTGCATGGGTTAAATCCCGGTAGAATTTGCCTGTGTTTACAAGAAGCAGCAGGCATGCATCTGCATAATTATTGCATTAACAAGGTCAGGCAGATGCGTCAAGGTGTGTGGATGTTTGCGTATGTATGCGTTTTTCACCAAGAACCATTGTCATCCATGACTCTCTTCAAATGTTCCATCTGTCTAATGGCACTGTCCAATAGCATGATGACTTTTTTAGACTAATTGAGCTCATCCTGTAATCTTATTGGCTCCAGCTGCTGTCCACTCTGCATTAGGCCCTTGCGATCAGGTGGAACGTTTCACTAAGGAGTCTCCAAAGCTACAGCCTATTCACATTGCAGGCTTGGTGAACAGATTTTAATTTTGTGGTTCAAAACCGCTTCTCCTTATTTATTTATTTATTTTTTCAGATTTAATTGTAGCTTTGTATTGCATTCTTTCCCTTAGAACTGCTGCAGTTTGTCTGACTGGTAGCCAAGTCCCACGCTTCATATCCGTTACCCTGAAAGACATTGTTTATCTGTATGACCATTATGTAAAGATCCACATCTGTTATAATGGTGATTTTGGATAATGGTCTGAGAAATAGTACTCGCTTTGAGAAAGTAACATGTAAACAATACGTAAACAATAGAAATCAGGATGAGAGTCATTGGCAAATTGCGGAAAAGTTGCTCTTGGTTTATGGAGGTGCCCTTTGGAAGGTCCCGGAACAGCTTATGTGCCCTCCACCTCTCTTTGTCCCAAGGTGGAGGAGGTGATTGAAGAGTGTTAATTGTTTTAGCATATGTACAGCAGTGGCTGGCTCGGTTAATACCTTTGCCAACTTGTGTTCTGTAAGACTTAAAATAATACTGTAAGACAGCATCCGTTTAATGCTTTTACCCAACATTATCAATTGGGATTTACCCATGACCTATTTGTTTCAGTGCTAAGTTGTGTAGTCATAAGGGCTGTCAAAAATAAAATTTGACACTTCCAGTGACAAAATGCACATTCAAAGGCAGAAAATGTCCATTTAAATATTTATA